CGTTGTGTTTACCAGCTTTTCCCACCCTTCTATGATTCTAGATCCGGCCTGGTCCCGACCTTTGGCATCCTTCGGTGTGCCCATTGCCTCTATCAACTCCGAGAGGTTCTTGTCGTTTATAGACATCTCTTCTTGGAACCCTACCCTCGTTTCTTCTACTTCTAGCTTATCTATTCTCCATCTGTACATTTTCCTGCGTCGCCTACTCTGTATGGCTCTCGTCTGTTGTAGGGCTGTCCACACCAACGCATGGTCTGTAGTGCCTACATCCGTTGTGCATACTCGTACTTCCGTCTCTTTCCCCCCATTCTCTACGACTATGTAGTCAAGGATGGAGCGTTCTGCTTTTTTGAAACACTGCCTAGTCCATTCCGGTTCTGTCTTTCGTACTCTACCGTTCAACACCTTCATCTCGCTACTGTCAAGGAACCTCAGCATTTCTTCCCCGTTTTTGTTCGTGGCTCCCTCCCCGTATTGCCCGATGGCTCCGTGTGGGTTCGTTGTTCGCCCGATTCTTGAATTGAAGTCCCCAACTAAAACTACTTCTGCCTTTCTCTTGAAGTTTTGTACATCCGCTGCTACCTCCTCGAACCCTTCTTGATGTCCTTCACCATATTCTTCGACTCTGGTGGTATATATACATTTCCTACGAACAAGTCCTTCCTTCCCCGTTCCCCTGGTACCCTTATCCACATGCTTTCGTTGAATTTGGTGTCGCTGATCACCTCAATTACGTCGCACATGTGCTCCTTGACTAAGAATCCAACTCCCCCCTCCCCTCTACTCTTGATTTTCTGTCCTCTCCTCATTTTACCTATCCATGTGTAGCTTCCCACTTCTTTTCCTATTTCTCCCCCGTCCTTCTCCCACGACTCTTGGACTCCGACTATGTCCAGGTCTTTTTCGGCTGCTTGCTCGGCAATTTCGAGTCTTTTACGCTCATCTGTGGCAAACCCGCATACATTCCAAGACCCTAGTCTGATTTCCTTACTCCTACTTTCTACTTTCCCGTGCCTTTCAGGATTCCTTCTGTCCCTCGTTCGCCTTCCCTTCTGCCTTATCCTTTCGCTGCTCCCCCCTTCCCCAACTTCGGCTTGCTTCCCATTTGATCCTTTCGAACCTCCTGCCCCCCTTTGTTTTCAGCCAGCCTTGGGCTACGCCTTACTTCCTGGATCCTATTTGCTATGCACACCCTCCAACCTAGTCTCCTCACCCACGCCGACATCTTCTCTACTTCCAGTCTTTCCCATTCTGCGCTTACTCTCCTTCCAAACGTGATTCTAAAGTGGTTTCCTTCCCTTTCTACCCCCCCCCGTGCGAAGCAATATAATCCTACTTCTTCACATATACTTTTGAACTCCAACCTTGTCATGTCGTTATTGACCCCAAATATCAACACTACCAGTACTGCACTTTTCCATTCTCTCCTTCTCCACCCTTTGTGCCTTGTCGTCTCCCTCCTTATCTCTTTCGAGACTATCTCGTTGTTTTTGTTTGAAGTGGGATGCTTTCAAATTACTGGGACTTCCCAATCCTAGTACTTGTTGAGGGTCTGGTGTCTTTCAATTCTTTTGCCGGCTCACCGACACTAAAAAGTGCCTCCAACATGGGCTCATAGCCTGGAGCCAAGTTCAACACCCTTAGCACAAGTACCCCAAGTTTGTGCCAGGCGATCTGCATGGTAACCAACCCAAGCGTCCCACGACCGTATCTTCTCTCTACTTGCCCCAGCTGCTGTACTGGGTATTTTCCTCCGGGGAGGTCATTTTCCCCATGTAGGGTTCAAGGGTGGCTTGCATAACAGAAGGTCTCACTCGCACATCGGGATGTCCGTCTCTTCCTTGATTTTTATGACATACAAACATAAAAATCTCCTCCTCGTAGACGCCAGAGAGCACTATCTTCCCTGATGGCGGTCTAAGTCGACCCAGGGTTGATAAATGAGTTACGGTCATCAACGTTTGTACGGTACACCATGGGTAGCTACCCCACTAACGCTCCCGAGTAGACCTTCGCTGCCGAAAGCTTGACCAACAATCCCCCCACACTTTGTACCGGCGTCTATCCTTCAAGCTTCAAGATATCTACGTACCGCTTGGTGCTCCTTCTCTTTTGGGTCATTTGGTCGGTCATTTGAAAGCAAGGTTCTTGAGTATGTTAGGTCTGACATTTTGTCTTGCATTATCCACACCTCTCCTTGCGGAGAATTCAGGATAGAGTCTGACCAGATTCCCACCGCCCCATGGGAACCGGTAATGTTTTACGGTTGTCTCACCACGAGTCCCCAACCTTCATGTGCATCGCACAGTTGACCAAAAGGATTGCTGTGTCTATATTTATGCTTCGTTTCCGTTTTCGTGTTGGTGTGTAAGGTGGCCAATAACCTTCTACTCTTGCTTACTTTTGCGTTTTCAACTGTGAAAAAAAAAAAAAAATGGTAAGCGTCTGGAAATGTATTTCGTTGAATTCAGTTATTTCAACCTGGCTTGTCATGTTTGTGTTACTTTATGGGAAAATAAAAGGTCGGTTAGTTCAGCTCTTTCATGTCTGGCTTGGCGGGTCTGTGTTATGGTATGGGAAAAATAAAAAGTCGGTTAGTTCAGTTTTTTCATGTCTGGCTCGTCAGGTTTATGTTACCGTATGGGAAAATAAAAGGTCGGTTAGTTCAGCTCTTTCATGTCTGGCTTGGCGGGTTTGTGTCACGGTATGGGAAAATAAAAAGTCGGTTAGTTCAGTTTTTTCATGTCTAGGGTCTGGTGGCTTGTTTTACAGCGTCGGTGCCACGCGACGCCAACCTATTCAAATTTTGCGAACAGGGGGTTCGGGGGGGGGGTAACTCGGGTTGTGATCTGAGTTCTTCAAAATCCGACACGTATCCGACCCGGAACCATGAGTGATGGCGCAACCGCGATAATACGAGCGTTTGACGCGCTGTGTCACCAAACAGTGAAACATTCGTAAAAGGGCAGACATGAGGTTACGATTTACGGTGGGAGTACCATACTCTCGGTGCTAAAAGCATGGCCTACAAGCGGAATTCGAGGGGATATCCAACCTCCAAAGGCTTGTCGCGCAGTCCCAACCGACGCGTAACTCCCTCACTGTGTGACAGCATCACCAACGTAGACTGTCCGACGTGGTCTTCCGTCCTCTCGCTATATGAAGGTCTAACCCAATCGGATACATGCCGTCGACTAGGCCGCCAATCATTCTGCATCTCACCCTCTCGGCTTTAGCCTGCTGTGCTCTGTCGGTAGCGTCATCTCTGGCCGCATCGCTGTTGCCGTCGTTGGAGGAGGACTCCATGAGCTTGAGGATTGATTTGAAAACCGGGGAGTAGTCAGTCCAGAATCGGCCTTTATCGTTGACCTTCAGCCCTTACGAACGAAGGAGTAGAGAAGAACGATCGCAGGCAAATACATGGCAGAAGTATTCATCGTGTCCAGTCTCGTTGCACTCGATACACGTGGATAACCGTTGTTAATACCGTCGGCAAAGAAATGCGTAACAATTACAAACTGGTTCTGGCTACCTTCGTTCCCAGAAAAGAAAGTCACATAAGACATATGGGTCACAGATCCCGGAAATGGGAGAGAGGACAACGTGATGACGGTTTCCCATAAGGAGGTTGTGCTAGTGTTCTTTATGTGCCTCACATTCGCCAACATCCCGCGTGCAACAGTCTCAGCAGGTGAGATCACGCGATGGTATGGACACCGGAGCGTGTATGTGCCCGACAAGGTGCACGGAGATTCGTTATCCTTTACTTCTCCTCGCCGGGACAAATTTCTGCGGTGGGCATTGTAGTTGGCACCGTAACCGTATCCCAAATATGGAGTGTCTACGTCAATATCACTCTATCCCCGGACAGACTTTACGGTTGTAAATGCGGATGATCTCGCATGCCCACTAATCGCCAAGCGCGACATGCTCCTCGTATAAACTACTTCAATTTTGCATCAAAAAAAAGGAAAAATACAATATGTGTAGTCTGGGACAATAATAACAACGCTGCTTACGTTTGCCTGTGTTTGTGGTAGGCCGTCCTGCATTCGTTGAACCAGTACCGAGCGGTGGACTCCGTCGGGAAGGGGGTGTCCAGGTAGTTGGCGCACCTGTACTTCATCCTCGACTCTTGAGGCAGCTGCAGCCACTTCTTGCGGACGGACTCGAACAGGGGTTTTTGCTCGGCAATGTAGTCCACCGCTCTCGTCTTCCACGTGAATTTCGCCCCTCTGTGGCCGAGCCGGTGCGAATCCCTCACCTTTTCCAGGAGGGCCTCGAACAACATGCCCTTGTATACCAAGTTCATCTGTGCCCTCGCCCTTGGTTCGTAGCACCGCGGTCGGCAACGGTGACACCCACTTTTTGTACCACGCCGCTTGCCGCCGCTGCTCCGACCCCATGGGTAGGGGCTGCCGCCTCTTGCGCCCGCGGCGCAGCCGCCGAAAATGACGCAACTTCAGGGGCAGGAGGTTCCGCCTGGTTCGGCGGCGCCACAGTCGCCGATCCTGGCGGGACTTGAGGGGTAGCATAAGCGGCCGCCGCTGGTGCCGCTGCTATTTCGTCTTGGAGAGCAGGAGGTGCGAGTGCAGGTCGTCTCTGTGCAGCAGCCGTAATCTGTCCAGGGGCATGTGAGGTAGATTTTGTCGAGATTGCCGCCGGTGCTGTCGCGACGACTCCGGCGTGAGGAGCAGGGAGTGCGGATGTAAACACCCTCCCTGCCGCAGCCGCTGATTGCCCAGGCGGAGAGGAGGAAGATGCGGTCGCCGTTTCCGCCGGTGCTGTCTCCAACACTCCGACTTGAACGGCAGGAAGTGCGGGTGCCTGCGCCGGAACTGACGCAGCCGCTGTCTGCCCGACTTGACCAGCTAACTTCCGCTGGTTCTCCATGAAAGCTGCTGTGAACGCTGCCACCATCGGAGAAGGGGCAGAAGCGGCGGCTGCTGCCGTCGCTGCCGCCGCCGTTACCTGGCCAGCATGGGAAACGCTGAGCTGGGGCGGAGTTGTTCCCGGAGCTTCCGTCGGCGAGACATGTCCTGGTAGTACTTGCTGTTGTGTAGTTGCGTACTGATGAGCCAGAAAGTTCTCACCGTAGTTGGGAGCTTAGGATGCAGGGTACTGCTGCGGCATCTGCTGCTGTTGAGCAGGCTGCCGCTGTACACTGCCATGCTGTTGGAGTACGCAGACGGAATGATGATACAGTGGTTGTGCAGCCTTGCTGTTACTGTGGTGAGAGGCAGGAAGCACAAGCTAAGCGTGGGGTCATTACCCCCATGTGCAATAGGGCTCACCGCTCTCTGCCCTGGCGGTTGGCCCCCGGTCACGGCCTCCTCCGCATGGCGCTTGCCAAGGACATTCGTGGAGCTGGACATTTGAGGAGCCGCTGGGGGGTGCGTACCGCTGCACTCAAGGTTGCCAGGGGAGCTCATGATCTAACGATGTGAACGCTGTCTCCAGGAGGGCGGCGACGTTGTAGAGGGTGTGTGGTGGCGCTTGGTGGGGGGCGTGCGTGCTCTTCGCTAGAGTGGTTCAGGTGCTGTGCCGTGCGTAAGCTAACCGGAGGGGTGAGGGTTTGAGACAAGAAGAACTTCACGGGGGGTAGGGCAGCATGCGTTCTCAGCCGTGGGGTATTTGGACTTCGCGCCTTGGCGGGCTAGGTCCAAATTTTCTTGGTCGTGATAGAGTTTTTCACCCCAAACAAATCAGACATTTTAAACTCATATTTGACAAATTCGCGGGACTGTACGGGCATTTGGGCACATTTCTGAGTTTTAAATAACTCTAGGAGGAAGGTGGGGCATGAAAAGAAATAAGAAGAAAAAAAGCCCTGGTGTTTACCCCCTCCTGTGTGACCCTGGATGGTTGTAAGTGTAGTACTCTACATACGCTGAAAAGTGTAGTACACGTCTCACCACCATAAATGGGGGGATTGTCGACATAATAAATGGGACGAAAACACACACACACATGTAGTGAAGGGCACGGTACTTGGGCATAACTCCGGGTAAGGCGATGTTGGCGACGGCACGCAACCGTTCAACGTCGACGCCTTTCGAACGTTGTTGAGCATTGCTGTGAAGTTTTGTTGATACAATCGTCTTGTGTATTTCACCATACCTGGTTGGAGTTCACGTTGCACTTTGACACCTGTACATATTAGACCAGCCCAACTCAAGGTAGCGTCGTTCGTGAAACAGGCCACCAAGGTAGTGTCGACCTACTGCGTTGATGGTGATGACCGCTTTTGTGTTGACCGTACTACTACTGCTGTAGACTTCCTTAAGTCGCAACTTGTAACGGTACAACTTGTACCAAAGTATTGCTGTTGGAACGAATAACATCAAGTCGAACATTCGAAGAACTGCTGTACCGCTCGCTGTTGTGTAGAGTTGTCTTGACAGGAAAAACTCACCCACCTGCTGATATTCATCATACTATGTGACGCTTGGAACACTCTAGTCGAGAATTTTCCGAAAACGGATCGTTCGATCTGTACATCCTCCGTTGTGGAGAATGAGGGCTTCGAAAAATCGGCGTATTTAGGCGGTGGTATCTTGCGCACACAAGTGCAAGTGCTGTATTTGAAGGCGTACACTGCCTCGCACGCGCGTTTGAGCGGGATTGCATTTCGCGGCGGAACTGTATATTGTACCCGATGAGAAACCGGTGGAACGATTGTTAGACACCAATGTGTACAAAGTTCATGCTAGACGCCACATTCAATATGAAAGGAGGTGGTTTTGGGGTTAGCCTGGATTGTGGACTGCTGTGGACAAAATGGGGGCAGAGACTTGTACTTTGTTTAATCGCAAGATTCGCTCCTCCTTCGCTCGCACATTTCACCACAGAGTATAGATCAAACTTAAGAATTACACCCTGCTCGCCCTGCTCACGCAATCTACTGCCGTACGGTATATACAAGGGAGAGAAAGAGAGATAGAGAGTGATCTCAGCATCTCGGCATGCGGCATACGGCAGCAGTGGGGTTGAATTTTGCGGCGCAACTACTGTACGGCATCCCGAACCGACACATTTTACGACGAACCAGTCTTGACCGTTGGACCATTGTAACCAGCGTTACTCTTGAGTTGACACTTGAGTGACTGAGACTCAGTTTACAGCGGCAGTGTACTTGTATTAGTGCAGCAGTATCACGGGACGAGAACACTTCTATCACCGTGCCAGGTACCAGCTAAGACTGGGGGTAAGAATAGGCTTTGCGTCCAACTACCGCAGTACTTCTAACCCACGGCGGTATGTACAATATTTAGGGCGCCTCTCCGATCGGGAAGAAACATTCCCATGATACACTACACATGAACGGAAGGGACGGCAGAACGGGGGGTTGTTCATTCCGGGCGGCCGTTCGACCAGCAAGAAGCTTACCTAGGATTCGGCTTCCGCCTGCTGGACACAAGACCGGTCAGGAAGTAATCTTCCTCGAGGTTCGTATCCGGCGGTGGCGGATACAACATTTCGGTGGTGACGTGATTCCTCCGCATTTATTTTTTTCTAAAGACGCTGTGCATCCGAGGTCATCGTCTCGATAGTCTACGTGCGGTACCATTCAATTTGTGTACCCATGCAGCGCACGCGTGCAAGTGGGTTGTACTGACCGAGGCACGTCATCACCACAAGCTGGCAGCAGGACCTGTGAGATCGCCAACGCGTGAGAAAATATTAACAATTGGTACTACGATACAGGGGGTTGGACTATTTGTTAGGAGTCCACAGGCAGTTGAAAGGGAGACCACACCGCCGTGTCTCGCCGAACCTGGAACGTCAGGAGGAGGATTATACCCGTCAGACGGATTTCATCATTTCATCCATTAAAAGCAGACGTGATCGGACGCGGACTTCTAGCTCTTTCCTGAATCCTGTCCGCTGAGCGGGCTGCTGTGTGGACGTCTTCCCCCTCTGCGCCCCCTGAACCACACAATAATGTCTACCCCACCCAGACAAGAACACAGCCACCTGCGCTCTTGAGTGAGACTGATGTTGCCGAAGAACAGAACAACGCATGACAAGCGAGCGGTACTGCATCTGTCGTTGATTTCTATTGACTTGCGGAACCCTCGAGGCCATTTTATTTGAGTGTACCTTTTTAGGGTAAGTTAGCCTGCGACCACGGGAATCGATCGCGTCAAGTGTTGGATCAGTACGGACGTACGAAGTTACTGGGTAGAGAGAGATGGAACTTTTTTTATGTGAAGACAACGACAACAACAACAACTGCACACACGTAAGAATGAATCTTCCTACGGTTCTTCTCTGTGACTTGCTTGCCTTCCTCGCCTCCTGCACGATGTCGCACGTCCAAGCTCGCTCTTTCGCAGACGACACGACACACGACCGTCATCCGCAACTGCGGTGATATTCCCTCCAAGGCTACCATGCACACCGACGGAGCTATCACGCTCCTTGGGGACATCAATTGCAGCAAGACGCCGATGGTGAGATCTTTTGGATCCCGGTCAAATCAACTCCCAGCAGCTATTGCCTGTAGTGTAGGAGACTTTGGGGGCATTTTCGGGACAGACAAAAAAGCGTGTGTTTCCAGGCCATCTGACCGGTAGGCATTCGGCAGTCTGTGTAGCGATACCCGTTTCCAGTTCAACAGTCACGAGTCTAAACTGCTACAATACAGCAGCTAGCTTCGTTGCAACAAACCCGCAGTCAAGATCCGGCACGCTACCCAATCGCTACCCATGTACAGGCAGGATTTATTTTCTTTTTTTCGAAGCATTCTGGTTGCTGCTGTGCTATAGCTTCGAAAAATTGCGACCACACTGACTGATTGATGCTGTGCATTCAAAGAGCTCACTTCTCTCTCGGATCCCGCGACTTTCTTCTATCATCCACGCAGAGGGGTCCTTCCGTGTGTTCGTCCGTGTATAACCATGATGGATTAATCCCTATTCTCAAGTGGCGGAAGTTGTGTGTGTGTGTGTGTGCGCGCTCCTTGCATGCAGCCGAGCGTTTGGCGCCACCCTGATCGCTCTTCAGCATTGTTGGTTGCCTCCCTATCCACCTCCTCCTTTCTTGAAACGAGCGCTTTTGTTTGCCGTATGAATACTTGTAGGGATATTTTTTTCTAGCAAGAAATGATAGAATCCCGTCGGGATTGCTTTAATCGCGCGAATAGCCGGGGCTCGCCATGGGCAAGATCAACAACGATGAGCATGGGAAAATCAAGACTGTGATGCTTCAAACAAAAATGCAGTAGAGAAAACAAAGTAGTATTGTTTGTCTCCAGAATGCCTCAAGACCTCACTATTTCCTGTTTGGGGTGTCGGCGCGTGTACTATGTTATCACGCTCG